CTCTCTCTCTCTCTCTCTCTCTCTCTCTCTCTCTCTCTCTCTCTCTCTCTCTCTCTCTCTCTCTCTCTCTCTCTCTCTCCCCACACATGCCTCCCTGTGTGCCTCTGTGTGCGACCGCACGCGCGAGAGCGCATGCTCGCCCTTATTCACATTGAAAGAAAACAATGTGGCGCTAAGCGTTAACACAAATTGAGAAAGATAAGAAAAACAGAATGCACTCTCTATATCGCCCCCATGTAAGGGAGCAAGAAGAGAGGGAGGACGGAGGGCCAATGAAGGTAACACCACCGGTGGAAGGATGGAGAAAGCGAGTGAGGGAAGCATGAAGGAGAAAGGGAGGAAGGAGGGAGGGCCGATGGAGCAGGGGTGAGGGAGGGAGGAGAGAGGGTCGAGGCAGGAATGGAGGACCGGCCGAGGGAGGAGGGATGGTGATGGTGCCTCTGCTGCCTCTCTCTCTCTCTCTCTCTCTCTCTCTCTCTCTCTCTCTCTCTCTCTCTCTCTCTCTCTCTCTCTCTCTTTCTCTCAATAGCCTGACCCGCTTGCCCGCAGTGAGGTGTGGGTTCGAGGTGAAGTAGAAACACTCTCTAGCAGGAATCCACAACGAAGCTCACGTTGTCGGAGCACTTGGCAGGAACTCACGATCCACGCACGAACCACCGATCCACGCAGCACCGATTCACGAAAGCACCGACTCACAGCACCGAATCCACCGCGAACCCACGATGCACCAAACACCGAATCCACGAAGTGGCAAGGACGAAGCACGAAGCATGAAGCACAGAATCCACAATGGACGAAGCACGAAGCATGAAGCACAGAATCCACAATGGACGAAGCACGAAGCATGAAGCATGAAGCACAGAATCCACAATGCTTCACGGAAGCACCAAGCACGTAGAGCACCAACGCACGTAGAGCACCAATCACCGACACACGTAGAGCACACACAGAGAGAGAGAGGGTAGGAGGGAGTGCCATAGAGAGAGAGAGGGTGGTAGAGCACCAACGCACGTAGAGCACCGATCACCAAAGCACGT